ACAGACAGAACGATAGATGAAACAATAGATGGATGGATAGAACAATGGATGGATGGATGGATGGATGGATGGATGGATGGATGGATGGATGGATGGACGGACAGACAGAACGATGGATGAAACAATAGATGGATGGATGGATGGGTGGATAGACAGAACGATAGATGAAAAAATGGATGGATGGATGGGTGGATTAATTGACAGATTAAATATTAAGGTTTTGAGAAGTAAAAAAATGACCAATTTTATCAACACCATGTTTATTATTTGACCAAAAAGTATTGGAGATTTGCCTCCTAAACACTTATTTTAACCATCTATAGGTTTACTTTTAGCATAGAAATACCTTCTGATACTCATATCTTATCTGTTAATACAGGCTTTTTCTACCATTAGTGACTGCAGACAGACTTTACCATCTCCTCACATGTGTGAAAGTCAGGTTAGTCTCTGAAACAGAAGGAAAACTGAACTTTAGGTGGGCTCTACTATTTGTTTACATGTTTCTGCTTCATCATCGAATTTTTAAGAATTGTTTATTTCGTTTTAAAGCTCAACTTGTGTCAAGACAACCTGCTTATTTTAAGATCATTTTATAGCTGGTATACGGCAAATATATTTGCAAGGAACAGATAGCAGATTGATTGACAGCTACAATAACATGAATATCAATGGAATTACAGCAATGTATGACATAACTTGCTATAGCAACTTAGTTGTTGGTGGATGTTGAGCAAAACCAATGCAATCTTACAGCAATTTCATAACTTTTTGATTTAGTAGCTAATTTTGTATTCATTTGTACGATCTTAAGTTTCTCATTCCAAATGAGGGTCACTGTTACGCATTTTTTAAATTGTACATTTTCATATGTATGCAATTGGATGAATTCATTTGCATTAGCTACTTTTCTGACAATATGTAAATTTGCATGGGACGATTAGCGTTTTCAAGGTATACCGTGGTTTGGAAAAGTAAAGGTTTTAAAACCACCAACATTTTCTGTAATACCGTTCCTAAGGTATGTGTAAGATGTTTTATTTACTTTCTTAAATCGTTTTTTAGGACAACAGTATCTCCAGAAGAAAGATGTCGTTTAAAATTGTAAATAAATCTGTGTTTTGAGATTGAAAACTAAGTTGAAACTAATGAAGACAGCAGGAGTTACTGATTCATTTGAATTATTCAGCCTGACATGTTTACTGCTCCTAAATATTATAAATATTTCAAAAAATAAAATATATTGTATTCAAAGAGGAAAAAGTTTTTGTTTTTAACCCAGACATTAAAAAGAATATATTTTAGAGTAGTAATCACATATTGTGATATCGTAAAACCGTAATATTTTTATCCAGGTTATCGTACCATCAGAATCTTATACCAGCCCATGCCTATATGTAAAATAGTTCTATTTCCAAGTGAAATCGGTCTGGCAAGACTCATTTCTGGATTTTAAAGGGAAGTTTTGCTTCGCATATATACATTCTCAGAAATAAAGGTACAGTAGCTGTCACTGGGCAGTACCTTTTCAAAAGGTATGTATTTGTACCTTAAGGGTCCATATTGGTACCTCAAAGGTACTTTTTAGGTACATGTGGGTACTGATATGCACCTTTTAAGGTACCATTGTGGACTCTTTGAGTACAAATATTTATCTTTTAAAAAAGGCACTTCTCCAGTGACAGCTTCTGTACCTTTATTTCTGAGAGTGTACATTTACTTTTAAATGTATGCATTCAGGAGCGATGCGGTGGCGCAGTAGGTAGTGCTGTCGCCTCACAGCAAGAGGGTCGCTGGTTCGAGCCTCAGCTGGGTCAGTTGGCGTTTCTGTGTGGAGTTTGCATGTTCTCCCTGCGTTCGCGTGGGTTTCTCCCTCAGTCCAAAGACATGCGGTATACAGTAGGTAAATTGGGTAGGCTAAATTTTCCATAGTGTATGAGTTTGTATGGATGTTTACCAGAGATGGGTTACAGCTGGAAGGACATTCGCTGCGTTAAACATATGCTGGATAAGTTGGTGGTTCATTCCGCTGTGGCGACCCCAGATTATTAAAGGGACTAAGCCCAAAAAAAATGAATAAATGAATGTATTCATTCAGCAGATACTTTTATCCAAAGCGTCTTACACCCCTAAAAACACAACCAGGGAGCATTTGGGAGTTCGGTGCCTTGCTCAAGTGAATCTACTCAGCTGTGGTATTGAGGTGGATATTTCCACCAAAAATCACTGCTGATAGCTTAACTCAAACCTGCAACCTTTGGATTACAAGTCCAACTCTTCATCTAACCATTATGCCACAATTGTCCCATATGACCTATCAGTTGTACCAATGCAATCTCATGGAAATTAGTAACTTTGAATATGAATTTGTACAATCCCTTTGTACATTTTAGTATAATTTGCTCATCCCCTTAATGAAGGTTGAGTTTAGGAGTGGGGTTTGGGTGAATACCTCCTTTTAAAAATCGTATGAGTTCATAAAAATTAGCCAAGACGCAAAATGGCTTCATTTCCTTGTGAGATGGAGCTAGATATACAGATGATTTATCTATTGACATCTATATAAAAACAGATAGCTAGCAGTTCATATTTTCAGATGTCTTGTGGAGCAGATGTTGCAGAGTGTTGACATTGTCCAGAGATGAATGTTTCCTTGCATCAATCTTTCAGTGATAGATATCTCATAGATGGATGCATTTTATCATCTAGGCTCTTATATAAAGGACGGCTTCAAGAGTGACTGAATAAAAAACATCCTTCTTATCCGTCTACCTCCCGTGGATAAACCCACTCTCAAAATGCATCTGTGCCACATCCACACACACCGGGTTTCAGATCAGAGATGAGAACAGGCCATCTTATCTGTAATGCTCCAGAATCACTTCAAGCATGTTCACACTCGCTACAGTCCCACGAGACTCAGTTCCAACATCCTAAGTCCTTCTTTTGGCCTCATCTCACCCGGCCAACGCATCCAACACCCACAGGACTCTTATCTTCCTCTGGACACACTAAATCTCAGCCCTTACACCATGCTGGAATGTGATTAGCCAGTGCTAATAGCAACGTGGAAGCTCATTTCGTTTAGGGCTTCCTCCTATGTTTTATTTATCGGTGCTTTTCTCACTTGCGTTGGCTGATGGATGGGAATGGGTCCCATGGCACAATGTTTTTTGGCCGGTAGCATTCACACATCCAGGCAGGTCATGCACTCACAGGCAGGCAGCCATTTTAGAGCTGTTAAAGTGAGAGTTCACCCAAAAATGAAAATGCACTCAATATTTACTCACCCTTAAGTGGTTCCAAAGCTTTACGAGATTGTTTCTTCTGTTGAACATTAATAAAGATATTTTGGTGAAACCTGTAACCATCAACTATTCTTGAAAATGGTTACAGGTTTCCAGCTTTCTTCAAAATATCTTCGTTTGTGCTCAAACAGGTTTAGAACAAGTGAAGGGTGAGTTAAATGATCACCAAATTTTCAGTTTTGTGTGAACTAGAGTTGGGTCGATAGACGATGCCATCTTCCATCGTCGATTGCCAATAGACATCACAATGCAGAGCCGGCATCGTGATCCTCCACCCCGTTGCAGAAGCACCCCGATCACGAAAAATACACACTTACACTCTCAGAAATAAAGGTACATAATTTGTCACTGGGGCGGTACCTTTTTAAAAGTACGGTTTTTACCATAATGAGGGACATTAGTACCTTTAGGGTACACTTTTGTACCTTAAAGATTTACTTTTGTACTTTTACACTACTATGAGGTACACATTTGTGCTTTTTAGGTATTAATATGTACATTTAAAGGGGAAATGAAGCACTCAAGTCAAGTTTACCTTATGTTTTACTTTGAATTCCACTTTAATGAAAATATATTAAACAAGCTCGATTAATGTAACCATTTAGAAAAAAGCAGCATCTTTTACAATAGATTTTAGATCTAGGGGGCCGCCATCTTGGAATGTCGCTGTGTCTGACGTCACAGGGTTGGTTCTGTTCTCTCAGCAGAATAGATACAATAGAAATAAAGGAGACTGTAAAGCCTAATTTAACCCAATGCGTAAAGTTGTGGACATGGAGCTGCTGCAAATACAAGCATTAGATGTGTGTCTAATATAAAAGTATATACATTTATTGTATTTTTTCCCCTTTTAATTACTCATCATTTTATGTGCTTTTATGCACTCTCTGTAACACTGTCTTACTGCCTGTCTGTGAGTGTAACGAACTGAACAGAGACTGGACAGCCTAATTTAACCCAATGCATAAAGTTGTGGATGGCATCACAGAGCTGGTGCAAATAGAACAAATACAAGCATTTAAGTGTCTTCAGTTATGTATTTTTCTTTTGATAAACCTTTTATTTGATTCGCTTTGGTCCACTCTCTCGCACTGCTCCAGCGCTGCCTGATGAGTGGGATTTACATTCAGACTAATGTAATGATTAAAAATGATACATGACTTCACGCTTTACTGAGTCATGTCTACGTGGATTATGTCAAGACATATTCTCTTATCAAGTCAATCAATGAAGGACATAAAAACCTGGCGTAAGAAACACTGCGTCGACCTTAGTTTAGTAGATCATTGGTTTATAGTGAATATTGGTACTTATTGTTACCATTTATTATTGTTATTATTAATTCTGAAAGCTCTGTAAATCTGTGAATACTGAAATACATTTTTTATGACCTTCAAAAAAAAAAAACATTAAAAGAAATAGAATTTTTTTTAGCATCTGTTCACCGTCCCCTTTGGTCCCCTTTCAATGCATTCTTCCAGAAAACAAAGGCTTTAAGATACTGCACATGCTGTATGGTGTTATATGATTACATTTAAACATTTCTGTTCTCTTTTTTTATTTTGCTTGTAAAAAATGGTTCACCAGATGAAAAGATTCAACAGCAAACATGCAATGATGTCTCTTGCCAAATGAAGTAGCTGCCGTGTTGACCTTAATCTGACCAGTGACCTTTCTGTCTCTCCTCAACAGGTGGCCGACTCCTCTGCCTGGTGTTCTGGCTTAACCTGGTGCCAGTGATAAACAGCTGCCCAGCGAAGTGCGTGTGCTACAGCGAGCCGAAGGCAACAGTGGCTTGTCAACAGCAGGGTCTGTTCTCCATTCCCACCGAGATCCCCGTTCGCAGCCAGCGAATATTCCTCCAGAGCAACAAACTGACAGTGGTCAGATCCACCAGCTTTAGTTCTGTGCACAACCTTACAGTCTTGTGGATGTACTCCAATAACATCAGCCATATTGAGGCGGGTGCATTTTATGGGCTGGAGAGACTGGAAGAATTAGACATTGGAGACAACAGCAACCTTCGAATCATAAGCCCTACTGCGTTTCGTGGTCTGACCAAGCTGCATACCCTTCACCTGCACAGATGCGGACTGTCCGAGCTCCCGGTCGGAGTTTTCCGAGGACTCTTTTCACTTCAGTATCTGTACCTGCAGGATAACAACCTACTGGCCCTGCATGAAGACACTTTCCTGGACCTGGCCAACCTCACCTACCTGTTCTTACACAACAACAAGATCAAGGTGGTGACTGATCACATGCTGCGGGGACTTGTCAACCTTGACCGTTTGCTCCTGCATCAAAACCGAATTGTACATGTGCAACAACAGGCTTTCAATGACCTGAGCAAGCTGACCACCTTGTTTCTGTTTTTCAACAACCTCACCATGTTGACCGGAGAGTCCATGAACCCTCTGGTGTCTCTTCAATACTTGAGGCTCAATGGAAACCAATGGATTTGTGACTGTCGAGCCAGGCCACTGTGGGACTGGTTCAAACGCTTCAAAGGATCGAGTTCTGATTTGGAATGCCACCTTCCAGCGTCTCTAAATGGGAAGGATTTAAAACGACTCAAAAGCGATGATTTGGAAGGTTGCGTCGATTCGCCATCACAGGTTCAAACTAGCATCTTCAACAGCAAGGTGCATTCTGGAAAGTTCCTCTCGCTTGATGATCCTCTGGTGGAAAGCATTCCAAGATGCTGTCTGTCAGATAACGACAAATCCTCCATCATCTCAAGCAAGTCCATCCCAGATCCTTCATCCTACAACAGCCGGCAGATCACCAACAATCCCTTGAAGGAAAAGGAGAACATCTCGAAGACCAAGTTTCGGGAGGTCGAGAGAACGAAAAACGAGACTCGCAACAAGCAGAGTCTCAACGACGGTCCTTTGGGAACCATGTCCAACAACCTGGACCAGAGCTTAGACAGAATTGACCCAGAGCTGCTTGGCAATCTGGAACCTTCCACAGCACCGACTAAGAAGAAAAAAAAGTGCTCCAAAAAGCCCAAATCAGACCAGAATTGTCTAAAGGGTCACGGCTCCACCATTCAAGTATTGGCCGTTATCTTTCTCCCCTTGTTCTGGTTGTCTTTGGCTTTGTCCTAGTTCATACTCTCAACCTTCAGTTTGCTCTTGACAATGACACAAATTACCTGCAGTAGCCTACATGGACAGGCAAAAGACGGTGAAAAGAGGGTTACGATGTCGACCCGCATGGTTGAGAATACATAAGTTGCAATGCTACAGACGCATTAAAAGAAATGGATGCCTTTACAGAATACATGAGATCTAATGTATATAAAACTTGGTGCCCAAATGTTTGTTCTATGTACTTTTAATGTGCTGTGTTTAAGCAACACTGCGAAGAGCTCCCTATTCCCACATCACCTTTAAAAAAAATAAAGAAAAAAAGAAGCCGATCAGAAAGTGACTATTGTAGATGAACCACCAAATGAAGGAGAAAAAACAAAACAATCCTTAAACCATGACTAAATCATAGCGCGGAAGCACCCAGGAATGTTGTTGATTTGAAACAGAAGGGGTTGACATGATTATATTTTTGTTCCTGAGATTTCTTTTGTTTTCTTTAAAAAGTGATACATTTGTTCAATGCTGTTTTTTATGTTTATAAGTATTTCAGTAAAGACAAATGTTTAACTCTCCCCAAATATGTGATATGTTATGTTTGCGTCATGACACACTGCGGGTGGCATCTTGGGAAGGAATGCTGTCTATTTGTTCACTGAAATTGCGATGGAATCATAGATATGCATTTTATTTTGCTGGTGTACAAGCATAAATATATGACAAATAAAATATCTCATTTTTTACAGATGGCTTCTCATGTGACTTAAGAACATTATAGAATAAAACATAGGTATTTATATATGACGGTAATTGTCCTTAAGTGCTCGATGAAGATATTTTTATTTAAATGAAACCCAAAGGAAATGAATGTCTATTTAATGTGTGTTCCATTAGGACTATGAAACCTCAAAGGCACATATTGCTGCTCATTAATGAACTTTAACATAGCCAATAATGACTCATCCATGTGTGAAACAGAAATTCACAACATGGAGCGTGCCAAAACTAGGCATCTTTCATAACACAAACTAATGAATGTGACACTGATTGAATTTGTGAATAGTCCTCAGTCCTCTTTTAAATTGGCACTCCGTGCTAAGCACATTAAACAATATTATGACATTCAGGAAGCATTTGTGTGTGGTGTGATGAAATATGAGAAATTACAATATAATGATACATCCTTAGGTTATGTTGCATCATGTCGACATTTACAACACATACTATAATTATACTGTAAACTGCAGCAATATACATATCTATTTAGTCAGTTCTTAAGCAGATTTTTGTAATATGTAAAAATGTAAAAAAAAAATTGAATTAATATTCTTAATAATAATAATAATAATAATTATTATTATTATTATTATTATTATTACTATTATTATTATTATTATTAATAATAATTATTATTTTCTTTATTTAGCCAGGAGATCACATTGAGACAGTACTGTCTATTCTTCCAGTGAGACCTGCTCAAGACAGCAGGCAGCACATAAAGTTTCACATAAAATCCACAAAAAACAATACCACAAAATTACAAAAATCACCATTTCTGAAAAGCTCAGATTATTAAAAACAATTACATGTATCCTTTAAGACAATGTACAGAAGATGCTTAAAAGTACTCAGAGTCAGAAGTGTGTCAAGATTATTTATAAAATTTCCCATTAATTGTATTTCATTTACGTCTACCCCTACCCTAAACCCAAACGTCACAGTAATGTAAAAACAGATTGGATTACATTTCCTATTAGTTGTATTTTACTAATGTCCAAGGGCGCAACTGCACATTTACTGAGGGGTACGCAGGTTCAAGTTTTGCGCCCCAGGCAATAATATCCAGCTGCAACGGATCAAATGGTCAACGGAGGGGGACGGGTTTTATAATTTTTTTATGTGATAAAATACAATATAATACCATATAAAATTACAAATATTTTTTTAACAAAAATATTTATTTATTTTTATTATTTGAAACTTTTAATAAAGATAAATTCAAAAATAGTTCTGCCACAATGGCGCTACCCCATTTGTGGCACCCCTATGCGCTGCATATACTGCATACCCCCTTTTTGCTCCCCTGTTAACGTCTACCCCTTCCGCAACCCTAACCACAAACCCAACCATCACAATAATGTAAAAACAGATCTGGATCTAGAGTCTTCTCTACTAGTATAGCTGATTTACCATGTGGATGGATGATAACAGCCCCTACTGGCCCATATCTATCAGCTGATAACCACTGATAATGTCCATTTAATCAAGTGATAACATTCGAAGTGGAGGTATAATTAACTATTGCAAACTTTTGTACTTGTACAATAAAGTATCACCAATAGATCCTTTATTGTCATCTAATTTTCAGTCAACAGTTTTCAATGAGTAGGGTCAGAAAGAATCTGCAGACATTTTTCGCATATTTCTGCAAAAAAAAATCTGCAGATTTATGCGGAATGATTTTGGGAGTATCATAACTAAAAACTTAATAAATGAAATTTAAAAATAATAAAAAAAAATTTTTAACTTTTATTTAATGCATGCAACGCAAATGCGATTAGATCCACTTGATTGGTAAACAAAGCAAGTCTCGTATATAATATCACTACTAAAAGACAGAGTATACTACTTTACAAACTGTATTGTAGATAAATCATATGCAATGTTTTTTTTCATATTAGTCAATAATATTAACGAAATTAATAAATAAAAACAGAATAAAGATAAATTTAAACACATTTACACAGGTAAATAAATATAGACTCAATGATGGGCTAAAATCAGTTAAACAAGTTATGTACATTCTTAACCTGAATATGGGTTACAATGCATGTTGGCTGTATCGAAAGATCTAAAATAGAGCCTTGCATAATTTATTCCCAATTTAGACCAACAAAAAGGCCAACCTTAACTCCGTGGTGCACACTGAAAAGCGCTCAAGTAAGGGTCATAGACGATCACGCCGTAGGAACCCATGTTCTGTCCTCTCCCTCAAACAGATGGCGATGCGTGCTGGGATTGTTTGCGGATGATGACCCATTGCTTTGTCAAATCTGGCCGGTGGCCAAGTCCTCGTCCGCGGCCTTCATCTAGTCGTGTGCTGCAGGATTCTGGCAGAAGAGAAACGGGCACACTTGAATGGAGAGAGATTTGGCCAGCAGTCGTATGTTATACTAAACACACTCCTGTCAGCTCGCTTACACCCCGTCTACATTGCTAGAGTCACAGTAAAATGACAATATTTACACTATCATGAATGAATCTGTGTGCAACAAGAAAAAAACGAGTGAGTGTATGAGTGTTGTTGTGTATTGCACACTTCTTTTGATGTAGAATAAACATGAATAGGATTTAGGCCATTTTATTTACAGCGTTTTAGAGGCCTATGAACATATTATTTATACACTATATTATATTCACTTATATAAGTTTAGAAAGGCATATGTTTTTAATAAAGTACACTAAAGAATTACAGAATTGTAATAAATATAAAATTAGATAAGAATGGGTGATTTTAGCATACTTTTATGTAATTAATACTATACTGCATTATGTATTATATTTATTGTGTGTGTGTGTACTATGTCTTTTCTTTGGGTTTAAAAAAAAGACTTGAAATAAGTAAAAAAAAAAAAAAAAAAACTATTTCTATTACTTTTATGCTATGCAGGAGCCATGTGCACCCACGGACAGGTTATACCCGCTTCTCTCTCTCTCTCTCTCTCTCTAGTTAAAAGCAAACTTGAATGCCAAAGCATTTTAGATGTATATAAAATAGCCTATGTAATATAGCCTAATGATATCATCAAATAAAATAATCAGCAAATGAGAAATAAATGACAGACAAAAGAACAAAAACAGACAATATCTCTAAAAATGATCTTAATTACAAGATTAAAAACTGTAGATTATTTAAATAAGATAAATGATTAACCACTAATGGTGTACATATATTTTGCAGCCAGTTTAGACCAGTCATTTCGTCCTTTATGTGTATAAAGTTTTTCTGAGTCGTAATTATTTAATGTTTCTCTCGTGACTGCGGGCGCAGTCAGCTGCGAAGCCAAGCGAAAGTAGGCTTAAGTAAAAAGGCAAGGCAAAAAGGCATATGATTAACGAACGACAGCTTTAGAAAGCAAAAGTTGTATCCCAGACATTTTAGGAGATTTAGAGACTCGGACAGATGATTTTTTTTTAAATGCCAAAAAGGCAAGTCTCTGTGGGTCAATGCACACACACACACACATATATATATATATATATATATATATATATATATATATATATATATATATATATATATATATATATGTGTGTGTGTGTGTGTGTGTGTGTGTGTGTGTGTATGCTGGGCAATGAAAATTTGTTTTTAAATAGTTGCACAAAAAACAATAATGATTTTAAAAGACATTTATCAAGCACTTTTATTTTAAAAATACTGAGTGTATAAACAACAAAACAACATACTCCCATAACATTTCAGAAGTTAAAATGTTTAAACTTAAATGGTGTAATCGAATTGAATTTACAACCAAAGATATTTGCAGCGGCCTACAACCTAATTTTTAATAGAAATTAAGCTATGCTCAGATTTCAGAAAACCATAACAGTATAACAGGACAGCTGCAAGCAACATCAAGTTAGCATTCAAAAATATATTTTGTAACAGGTAAAAAAATAAATTAAGTTCCTTTATTCATCAAAACTAAAAATTCATTCAAAGTTTCATTTTAGCAAGAAACAACATAAACAATCTATTCTATAGCAACTGTCACTGTTAAGAGTAAGGTAAAATATTTGCAGGTTTTACTGTGCAGAGGACTTTAATCTGTTAAGTAGCCTAAATGTCTGTTACTGAATTTCCCTTTGGATAATGTTAGCCATAAAAAAAAATAAAATATTTCAAAATAAAAATAAAACACAAAGACAAAATCTGTATTAATCAACTTCCCCAACTCAGCATTTACTAATTCCTTTCCACCAAGCAAGTTGCTAAAACACACTAGATTCTTTATCGTCTAAAAACGTCAATCAACTCTTCAAAGTAGTCTGCCGTTACCCTGTTCACTGTGTGTTTGCTTGGGTGCGTGATTTGATGTCATCAACGGTGTGTAGGCCATTCACGTGATCCTCTAAGTTACTTCGGTGATACATAAACTCTTCTTTGCAGTAGCAATACGTAAGCTTTGGGTGTGATAACTTCACCGTTCACTGAAAACGTCCGTGTGAGAGTTCGCTGCTTTATGCCACATTATTATTATCTGGACAGCCGTATGGTTGAGCAGCGACGCCAGTCTAAGG